AGTTTTAGCGCTGAAAAGCGCCAGCAGAGACAGCGCTTTGTGTGGCTCCCCCCGATAAAGCTACCGCTGCTTGTTTTGGGGTGGGGGTTTATCGCCACGGCAGCACTGTAGCCTGGGCAGTGGGGACATACCCTCTGATACTGATTTTTTGATTTGGATATTTATCCAGTATGAACTGAACTGAGATCCTCCAACTCATTTCACATATTGCCATTCAGTGGCCTGACCTCAAATCGTGTTTACTTCAACATTAAATGTTTGGAATCTTTGCTGTATAAATATACCAATTTTCATACTTTAAATTAAAAGCCCTTGTCCTGTGAAGAAAAGACCTTTAAAATCAAGCATAATTCACAAGGCCTGTTCTTTTCTTGGGAGTGCCAGGATATAATGAAGTGCCTCACAGGTACACAGAAGAAAATGGGGAGGCAAGAGAGGTACACAGCTGTTTCCAGCTCTGACATCTTTGCCAGTTTGTACAGTGTGTGCAAAAATATTGCTTTGCGGAGCAGTAGTTTCAGTGCTTCTAAACAACCTCTTCTGCCACCACTTGTCATTGCCTCAGTAAGATTACCTAGGTTTTCAGGAATGGCTAGTAAGTGAGCAGAAAGAGTTTTCCTGGTTATATTTTGGGCTTGATTTGGCAATGTGACTTTAAGTTTACCATAAATCCAAACCATATGTGTTTCTTTGGTAACTATCATATTGCACAGTACTAAAATACGTAACACAGGCTACTGAACTCCACTGGTGAGAAAAAGGAATAAACTTGTCAGTAATCCTGTAAGGGCCTGAAATGCCATATACAAATTACACCTTACATTGTTGCTCTACCTTCAAGACAGTTTTAATAAGAGGGGGATTAATCTAACCCCGCCCCACTCTGATCAGAAATCTGAGGTCAATGAGTTTTTTCTCCACATGGAGCAGTTAACAGTAGTCCCCTCTTTTTTTACCTGCTGTGAGCCTGAAAATCACACAGGCAATAAATTTCTGTCAGCTCTGGATTCCTGAATGCCCTTTATGAGCTCATCCTGAAGCATGCTAATGTGATCAAATGCAGGCGGGGGAGCTTTGCTGCATGACCTACTCACAGCTAATGGGGAAACTATTGTTAATCTAACTGGGTGGTTGCCAAAGTGACCTACTTCAAATGAAAATGAGATAAAAGACTCATTGGGCTGAGGTTCCCTTCCACAAATATTGTTTTACAACCTCCTCTTTCTAAGTCAGTTCTTCAATTTAACAGCACAGTGTGCAGGTTTCTGCCTGGAACAAGAACAGGACCAAAAACTTAAATGTACATGGCCTAAACATGAACAGTAGTAACAATGAAATTGTGATCACGAGCTTCATATGTTTCTGGTTTACTGCAGTGAAAATTAGCATGAGAAATTAATCTTATGTGACTTGAACCATACTATAATATTATGTTGTAGTATTGAGTATTACAATATTCAGTCAGCCTTTGTTCATGTGTCCCCTTCTTGGTTTTGATGCTATATGCGGTATCCTATCCTTCATTATTTTTCAGTATTTCTTCCAAGATATTCGTGAATTTTACAGGTTTGAAGAACTTGAATGTATGCTCTGTATGTTTGAGAAAAAGTATCTGAGGACTGTTATTGCTCCATAAGAAGTGAAGAATATTCAGCCATAGTAATTATTGTTGAATCAGGAGTTTAGATCTAGTAGCACATAGTGCATACTGTCTGCTTGAAAAAACGTTTAAAATATACCATTAATATTTGATGGAATAAGTGAATGTGGCATTTTTTTTGAGTTTCTCTACTATCATCAGAAAACCTGGATTGTGACAACTCCAACCTTATCACTATGACCTTCCAGTGTTTGTGTTCAGAAATGCTATAATGAAATCAAAGACCTTTCAGCTGAGCACTCCGGCATCTGGATTGTTCAAGGCTCACAGAGAAAATCTCCTGTTGGTTTTATGATGAGATCAGTAGTTACAAAGGATCCAACTGGCTGGAAAATCATTTTACTCTGTGAGAATGACAAGTTCGCCAGGTTTGTCTAGAGGACTTGAGCACTCATAGCTCACTGTTTTAAAAACCTACCGTCAGTGCTGCAGAAATCATCATGGTTATGCTCCCTCATCCAACCATATAAACATTTAGCACTGTTTTTCACCCTTCAGCAAACTGGTTTCACAATAGCCTTGACAGTTTGGTGTTTCAGGTGTTTTATTCAATTGTTACAGAGAAGAGCAACATGACAAAGGTGCAAGCCACAACTCTAACTTTCCCTCCCATCTAAACTCCTCCAGGTAACATTTAACTGAGTTTAGCCTCTTCCAAAGCTTTACTAGATAGCTAAGTCTCTTAAAACTTTCCGAGAAAGGCCAATCCTTGTATTCTTAATTATCCAATACATTCTCCTCCCATTCAGTGAAAAAACATTTGAGTCCCCTACAATTGGCCATCTCTCCTCAGTTTTTTTTCTACCACTGTCAGATTCACTTTGATTCAATCCTACAATGCAGAAAAAGATGTCAGTTGTACTAACACTCTATGATGGAACAACTGAATAAATACCAGCTATCATCCATTTAGTTATCCTTCCTTGGATCAAGAATGGAAATTTCACCTATGCCTCTGCACTTTCTTCAATGATGACCCCCTACAAATGAAATGCCCTCCGTGAACTGATCTATAAGGCGCCACCCTTCCTTTCAAATGCCTGCACAAGTCCCACTTCAGCCATAATGACGAGGGGCAGCTGAGTAAAGTCAGTACTTACGTATTTATATCAATATAAGACAGACACAAATAGTGAATGTATACAAAAGTTGTATACATCTTTTCCTCCACTGGTCATATATTGTTTGTCTTTAGCTTGCAATCCCTTACAGGTAGATACATTCCCTGTCCCAGTATTTGTACTGATTGTTGCCTCTGGATGCTACCATAATAAACATATTTAATAAAATGACAGGCATGTTGTTGTTAAAATATTAATCCATACCTGCCTAATCCCTTCCCCCATAAAACTGTGGTTTTGCTTGTTGAATCACAAACATAATGAGTATCTCTGCTAGCACATACGAAAAAAAACACAGCCTCAGCATGACTTGCTACAAGTCTGCTTTGCATTAAGCAAATATTATATAAACTGGTTTCTACCTTTAAAAGTACAGCATCCCATAGGCTCTGATCTGCAAATAAGAGTGCTTTGTTTTATCACTGGAAGTGAAAATATTATTGACTTTTTGATGTCAATAGTTCCACTATTAGTAGTTTTATAGGCATTGGTTTGTATCTGTTTCTAACCATTATTAATCGTGCTGGGTTTTATGCTGTATGTGTAAATTACATACAAAAATGTGTTCAAAGTTGTATAGGTTGTAAAGTCATGAACTTGAAAGTTAGGAAATGCTACTACTGCAGGTGTCTGTGCAACTTTAATTCTCCCCCTTGTGCTTCCAACCTGTGTGACAAGCCTCACTCAGGCGGAGGGTCTGTGGGGAAAATAGTATTTCGTCATGTAATTAAAGATTATGTCCTAGTGCATCCCAACAAAAGGGCAAAATTAAGGTGGCATGGAGGTACTGGATTTAAAAAAAAGTAAAATGAAGGTGATGTAACTTTAGTCTGGAAAATTATGCAAAAAAATAGTTGAAGAGGAAGTAAGGATGCCTTAGTCATGAGCAAAAAACAGATGTGATGGTTTCAGGTGATCAATGGAATATTTGATTGAGGATTGTAGGGATGGCCAGTGTTAATTCATTTTCAGAATGAAGAGGATTCTGATCAGGCCTTATCAGGCAAACCATGTCACAGTTTTCGCCGAAGGAGGAATGGCTTTATACGTAGAATTTGGTTCTGGGAAAACCAAACTACACAGATTGTTTTGCTCTCTGTACTGCCTGTGCTGTTACAGGCATCCAGAACGTTCCTTTCCCACCTTGGTGCCATTCCCGACAACTCCCTGCCGCTGCCCCTCTGGCCCCGTGTATACCAATATTCTATGGGCTTGTGCACCAGAAGAGCATGTGTACTGATTAACAGAAATTAGGGAATAGATGATGTTACTGAGGGTTATTGCTGTGGAGAAGCCTTTTGCTATCTCACTGCATAGCTCTTCATTCAAAAAGAATGAGAGAAGTTCATAGAGGATAGGTCCATCAGTGGATATTAGCCAAGATGGTCAAGACTGCAACCCCTCAGGGCCAACCAAAGACTTGCGATAATGTACAAATTAATCAAACGGGGCAAATCTGAAGAGCAGTACTGTGCAGTGTTGAGCTTCCTCAGCTTTTGTTGAAGTCCAGGATTTTCATTCTTCGGGATCATGCAGTATCAGGTCCTTAGTAACTTGCCAAATGCATGGAGATATTTCCCCTCTTCTCCTCCCACTTTAATTCCATAGTATTTTCCAGGGTGAACACAACATTTTAATGAAGTGTATACACTGAAGTTTTGCCTCTTCTGTATAAGAGACATTCTTCCTTGTAAGTCAACAAGGAGTCCGGTGGCACCTTAAAGACTAACATTTATTTGGGCATAAGCTTTTGTGGGTAAAAAACCACTTCAGATGCATGGAGTGAAAATTATAGATGCAGGCATTATATAATGACACATGGAGAAAGAAGTTACCTCACAAGTGGAGAACCAGTGTTGACAGGGCCAATTCCATCAGGGTGGATGTAGTCCACTCCCAGTAATTGATGAGGAGATGTCAATTCCAGGAGAGGCAAAGCTGCTTTTGTAATGAGCCAGCCACTCCCAGTCCCCCCGTTACGCTTCCTTGTAAGTGTGCATTGTCCACAGTTTTCTATGTTCTTGTAAGCAGTGCCATAGATTGAAGTCCAAATTTTACATTTTTGATTACACAAAACTCAAGCTCTTTGCTGTTAATAATCTCCCCGTTTGTTCAATGGGAAAGGCACAGATGGGTTGCTGGTGCTTCCTGGGTGTTCTGTTTGTTAGTACGTACTTGACTATTTCTTTATAAAACACTTGATTGATCTTTAATTTCAGGAATATATCTCTTGGATTTAATCTACATCGATTCTGCATATCCTTCATCTGGCAGCATCATGGAGAATGAACAAAGATCCAATCAAATGAACAATATCCTCCGAATAATAGCTGATTTGCAAGTCTCCTGTAGCTATGGTTAGTAATTTTTGTCTTGTTATTGTAAAGTCGTCACTCATATTAATATAATAAATCATTAGGAGATGTCTGCCTGTGGCGATGCAAAGACTCACCGGTGCGGCGCTTCCTGCTGGTTGTCCTGGGAATTAGCTCTCCAGCCTCTGGAGCGCCCTCTGCAGGCTGATGTCTCACCTGCCGCTGGCCCCCATGTCCCTCCCAGACCCTGGTGCCCTTTACCCTGGGGTTCTACCCTAGCAGTCTCCACTCTCTGGGTCTCCCCTCCCAGGGGAACCCCAACCCTCGAAACCCACCTTGCCTCAGTGGCTACTGCCAGTCATCATCTAGCTCCTGCTCACTGGGGCAGACTACAGTGTAATGGCCACTCATCATTGGCAAGGGGTTAGGACCTGCTGCCTTTGCCTATCTCTGGGCTGCCCCTCTGCAGCCCCAGTACCTTTGTAGGCCTTCACCAGGCCTGCAGTCTGGGGTTTTACCAGGCTGGAGCTCCCCCACTCCCTCTGGCCTTCCCCAGCCCTGCTCCACCTCAGATACCTTGCTCCCAGGCCGCCCTTCCCACTCCAGGGCTAGAGTGAGACTCTTCCAGCTCCTGGCCCACAGTCCTCTTGTAAGGGCCATCTGGGCCCTGATTAAGCCAGCCACACATGTGGTCAGCTACACAGTCAGCTTCCCCCAGCTGTTCTTAACCCCTTTCCTTGCTGTAGCCCTCTCCAGGGCTGGAGTGGGGTGACCACCCCGCTACACTGCCTCATATGAAGGGGGACACGAGGCTAATGTAAGTCAGTAGAGTGATGCACTGCTTAACTTCTGCTTCTGTATAACTTCAGTTTTAATACCAAATTAGGCAGTTGAATCATATGTGTTCTCTGTTAATGGAACTAGTGTGCAAGCTTTGTTAGAACAGTGTGTTTCATATGCAGGCTAAAACTTAAGTATTTAGTGAACCAGAGCTCTTGCATTTGGATTTTACTAGACTAACATTCTGGTTTATTTTTATTTATTTTTATTTTATTTTCATTCTTTTTGTTCTGTTTTTGCTTTACTATTGTTCAGATGAGGGAAGGTAGGATGTTTCACTGGACCATTTCTTGCCTGGATGAACTAGAGTCCCTGCTCCTCATAGAATCAAGCGACTCTCCAGACCACCTCTGGTACTGCAGGACTCTCCACCCTTCTCTGTGGGTGCTTCTCTGGTGAACAATATTTAGGAGGATGAAGAAGACTTCCAGTCAGTCTCTTCTATTTTTGTTCAGGGTTCTCTGACATATCCTTTCAGGAACCCATTCTTTAGCAGTCACAGGGAAGATTGTGCTCATCAGCAAGGTTGGGGGAAACCAACCCTGCATTCCACCCCCTACTCCTCTATGCCACCCCCAACAGCCATACTGGGCCCTTGGCTGCTTATTGGCCGCAATTTGCCAGACCTCTAGTACCATCTCATAAGAAGCCTAGAGTCATATACTCCTCTCCTCCTCAAACAGCCCCCCCCCCCCCCCCAGGAGACGACATTTAAAGAGCAGGAGGTCAGATTGGATAAAGAAGCCACCCCTCAAATATCTATTTCATCCCCATCTCCAGATGAGAGGGTTATGCCTCTGCCACCTTCCATGGCCAACAATTTTTTGAAATTTCAAGATCTCATAAAGAGAGCAGCTGACACTCTTCAAATTCCACTCAGAGGTCAAGGACATGAAGCACAAACTGTTGGATATCCTGCTGTCAGCAACACTCTCCAATGTGGTGTTACTCATTAATGAGGCACTACAGGATCCAGCTAAGATTATGTGGCAAATACCTGCTACTGTTTCACAAAAGTGAAAATGGGCAGATAAAAAATATTATGTTCCCGCCACCAAAAGATTCTGAGGGTTCTTCCACCTTCCACCTATCTCCCTGGTAGTGAATGTGATAAATGAGTGGGATAAGCAACACTTCTCCAAATATGACAAAGTCCAAAAGAGACTGGATTTCTTTGGATGGAAATCCTATTCATTGGCAGCCCTATAATTCAGGATCACAAACTATCAGGCAATCATGGGCAAATATAATTTTACAAACTATAATATATTACAGCTTTTATTGAACATCTGCCATAGGAACATAGGGAGAAATCCAATCCATCATTTCAGAGGACCAGTTATTGGCCAAAACCACTCTTCAAGCATCCTTGGATGCTGCTGACATTGCTGCCAGGTCCATCTCCATGGCAGTAGTTATGCACAGCATCATGGCTAACTCTCGGATTTTCCAAAAGAAATTAGGAACACTGTTGAGGACCTTACCTTCAATGGCCGTAAGCTTTCCTTGGAGACCTTACACACACTGAAGGACTCTAGGTCTACTTTCTGATGCCTGGGCATTCATACACCTACAAAGAAGAGAGGATTTAGTATGTCACAGACTGTCCAAAGATTCTCTGGATTCTATAGATCTACCGAATCTAACATGGAAAGACATAAATTCCAGAGAAAGAGGGCAGCTCAACTGCCTTCCATGACCACCCAGTATTTTCAAAGCAATGATTTTGATGAGTCAGTCGAGCATTCAAATCCTCCTGCATGTCTAGTTTCACACCTGCATATGTTTGCCCACCTCCCCCACTTTGGAGATGGCCTTTCCCATTTCCTTGTAGTTGGAAGCAGATCACTACAGAGTGAGTCATAGAGGTTATAACATTGGGCTATGCCATTCATTTTACTTCCCAACCTCCCCCACACCGCATATTTCTTAAGGGATGCCTTCACAAGCTTTTATTGAGACAGGATGTGAACTGTCTCCTTTAATTAGGAGCAATAGAGCCTGTCTTGCTGCCTCACAAAGGCAAAGGGTTTTACCTGAAGTATTTCCTTGTGCAAAAGAAGAACAAAGGATGGAGACCAGTTTGTATCTAAGACTTCTAAACAAGTTCATAAAGTCTTAAAAGTTCAGGAAGGTGACTCTGGCAGCTATAATTCCTTCACTGGAGGAAGTGGATTAGTTTTCAACCCTTGACCTACAGGCTACCTATTTCCATATGATGATACACTCATTGCACAGGAAATACCTACAGTTCACTATAGGCCAGGATCATTTCCAATACCAAGTTCTTCCCTTTAGTCCTTCTGCCCCAAGGGTATTCTCAAAGATCCAGGAAGTAGTGGCCGCTTACCTGCGACAAGAAGTGATCCTAGTCTTCCGGTACCTCAGCAACTGGCTACTCAAGGGTTGTTCCTACAAAGCAGTGCTATGTTCCACCCAGACAGCCCTTGCTCTGTTCCAGGAGTTGGGTCTTCAGCTGAATGAAAAATAATCTTTGTTAACCCCTGAACAGAAGATACAGTTTATAGGGGTGCCTTCAGAGTTGTTGACAGCCAGGGCTTACCTTCCCTTAGACAGATTTGTAATTTTGTCAAGTCTGGTATACGTAATTCAGGGAAACCTTCAGACCACAATAAGGAATTTTCTTCGCTCCTGGGATATCAGGGCATCTTGTGCCTTTTTGACCAATCACACAAAACTACGTCTCTACCACTTCCAGGGTTGGCTCAGAATGACCTATTCTCCAGCCAGACACACCTTGAACAGGCAGGTGATGGCTCTTCTACAAGTGAGGAATTCTTTAGACTGGTGGAAAAATCAACTCAGCATTGGTGCAGGCATTCCTTTCTGTTGTCCAGCCCCATCAATAACTTTAACAGATGCATCAGTGTTGGGGATGGGGAGCTCACCTCAATGCTTTCACAACTCAGGGCATATGAAAAACTCAGGAAACCAATCTCCACATCAGTGTACTGGAACTCAGGGCTGCCTTCATTTCCTACCCCTCCTCAGAGGCAAATCAATCAGGGTCATGACGAACAATATATCCAGCATGTTCTATATCAGCAAGCAGGGAGGAGCAAGATTCCCCTCTCTGTGCACTGAAACCATGAAACTATAGAACTGGTACATAGCTCATCAGATCCAAATTTCATTGGTCTACCTCCCAGGTATTCAGAACACCACAGCAGATGTTTTCAGAATACACTTCTCCCAGGACTCCAAACTCTCAAGTTCTCCACAGCATATTCCAAAGATGGGGAGTGCCAGAGGTGTTTCTCTTTGCCATCTCCAGGAACAAAAAGTGTCCTCTTCTCTGCTCAAGAGGAGTCTGAGCCTCCACACTTTTGGAGACACTTTTCTTCTATCTTGGAAGAAGCGTCTGCTCTATGCATTTACCTCTCCACTGCTGATATGAAGGGTGGTGAACAAAATCAGACAGACAAGGCCAGAGTTGTTCTTATAGAGCTGACATGGCTGAAACAAGCTTGGTTCCCTTCCCTGCTTCATTTGTGTCCAACCACCAGTCAAGCTTCCGACCACCGCTCATCTCATGTTATAGGCCACAGGTTGCCTGCTTCACCCCAACCTAGGGCTTCACCACCTCAGGAGATGGTACCTTGGTGGTTCATGGGTTAGAATCCTCCTGCTCTGCAGAAGTGCAACAAGTGTTACCAAAAAGCAGAAAGAAGTCAACCCGTACTACTTGCAGAAATGGAAGAGATTCTTCCATTGATGGTATTTCCAACGCCTTCTGCCGGAATTGGTGCCTCATTCAGTAATCATAGAAATGTAGGATTGGAAGGGACCTCGATAAATTATCCAGTCCAGTCCTCTGCGCTGAGGCAGAATTATCTAGACCATCTCCCACAGGTGTTTCTGTAACCTGTTCTTAAACCTCCAATGATGGAGATTCCACATCCACCCTAGGTAATCTGTTTCAGTGCTTGACTACACTTAGAATTAGGAAGTTTTTCCTAATGTCTAATCTAACTTTCCCGTGATACAGTTTAAGCCCACTACTACTTGTCCTGTCTTCAGTGGTAAGGAGAACAATTTATCACCCTCCTCTTTACAACAACCTTTCACATACTTGAAGACTATTATCATGTGCCTCCTCAGTCTTCTCTTCTCCAGACTAAACAAACCCATTTTTTTTAGTCTTTCCTTGCAGGTCGTGTTTTCTAAATCTTCATTTTTATTGCTCTCCTCTGAACTTTCTCTAATTTGTCCACATCTTTCCTGAAGTATGATGCCCAGAAGTGCACACAATACTCCAGTTGAAGCCTCAACACTGCTGAGTAAAATTGAAGAATTACTACTTGTTTCTTGCTTACAACACTCCTGCTAATACAACCCAGAATATGTTTGCTTTTTTTGCAACAGCATTATATTGTTGACTCATATTTATTTTGTGATCCACTATAACCCTCAGATCCCTTTATTCAATACTCCTTCCTAGGCAGTCATTTCTAGTTTTGTATGTGTGCAACTGATTGTTCCTTCCTAAGTGGAGTACTTTGCATTTGTACTTTTCATTTGTCCTTATTGAATTTCATCCTATTTAATTCAGACCATTTCTCCAGTTTGTCAAGATCATTTTGAATTCTAATCCTAGCCTCAAAAATGTATGCTATCCCTCACAGTGTGGTATCATCCACAGCCTTTATAAGTGTACACTCTATGCCATTATCCAAATCATTTTTGAAGACATTGATTAGAACCTGACCCCAGACAGAACCCTGCTGGACCCCACTTGATATGCCCTGGCATCCTGACTGTGAACCATTGATATTACTACACTTTGAGTACTGTTTTCCAGCCAGTTGTGCACCCACCTTATAGTAGTTTTGTCTAGGTTATATTTCTCTAGTTTGTTTATGAGAGAGTCATTTGAGACAGTGTCAAAAGCCTTACTAAAGTCAAGATATGACATCTGCTGCTTCATCTTTATCAAGAAGGCTTGTTAACTTTTCAAAGAAGGCTATTAGATTGGTTTGACATTTGTTCTTGACAAATCCATGTTGACTGTTATCTTATTTTTTACTAGGTGCTTACAAATAGAATGTTTGATTATGTGCTAGATTAACTTCAGCGCACAGAAAGATAATCTTTACGTTCACACCCTAAATTCATGCCTAAAATATTATCAGAGTTCCATCTTAACCAATCCATTTATCTACCAGTGTGTTTTCCCGTACCTCTTAGCTCTCTGCAAGAGACCAGTTTTCATACCTTGCATGTTAGAAGGGCATTGGCTTACTACTTAGATAGTAGCAAACAAATTAGAAAGTCATCTAGGCTGTTCATCTGCTTTGCAAATACATGAAAGGGATCCACGACCTCTGCTCAGACTATCGAGATGGCTATCTGGTTGTATATTCATTTTTTACGATGCTACAGGCATTCATCTCACCCAAATGGTGATAGCACATTCGACCAGATCACAAGCAACCTCCACAGCGTTACTTAAGAATGTGCCAGTATCTGAGATATGAAGCCCATGTAGCGGCCTGACAGTATATACATTTTCTGAACATTACACTATGATCCATGCAGCGAGATCCGATGTGGCATTTGATACTGCAGCACTGGTCTTTAGTTCTAGAGTGAATTCCGAAGATCCCTCCTCACTCTGGGGATGCTGCCTGGTAGTCATCTGAAGTGGAGCACCCTTAGGGACATTACTCAAAGAAGAACAAGCAGTTACACACCTTGTGTAGTAATTGCAGTTCTTGAAGATGTGTCCCCCTATGGGTGCACCACTACCGGCCCTCCTTCCCCTCTGCTTCGGACTGTTCTCTAAGGAACATTTGGGTGGAGAAGGCACTGAGAGCAGTTCTACCACACACTCCTATGTAGCCTCGGTGTCCAGCACAAGAAGGAATAGGGCACATGCGCTTGCCAAACGGACACAGCTAATGGAAAATCGCGGCTCAAGGATTTGAGAGGCTCCTGTGTACCTGAAGTGGAGAACCCATAAAGATGCACATCTCGAAGAAATGCAGTTATTGCACAAGATGAGTAACCTCTTCTTTTGGTGCTCATCAGAGGCCTACCTAGTGGAAGGCTCCAGGGCCTGTTGAGGGAGAGAGGGAGATGTGAAGTAAGAGGGGAGCCATGTTCCTTTTGGTGCCTTTTTCTCACTTCAGAACTCTCAGGTTGAAATCTTGTCCTGATGCTTTTTGCCATTAAGTTTCAAATAAGAATCCAAAATGTTTGTTGTGTATTTGAACCAAATTGTCTGAGGTTTGCTCATTAATACATGAACCTCACTTTTCTCTTTGTAAATTGAGAGTGCATACTAAAATCGCCTAATTCTCCTAGTAAAATCAGCAGCTGAATCTCATCTATAGCATGAATGACAACTAAGCCTTTATTTGGTAAAATCCTTAACATTCTCATACAATCTAACAAAATAATATTCCTAGACAGTTTCTCCCTTGGGGAGTTATGGTCTCCTTTTGGTTTCATTCATAAAATCAAAAGAACTGGAGGAATCTAAAGAAGAATTGCTTTTATTTTTGCAGTTGTAGAGATTTATCTTGGCTAATTTTTTTTATACTCTACAGATCATCTCATAATTTTACCCCATGTGCAAAAGTACTTAAAGTCTGTCCGCTACATTGAGGAACTTCAAAAGTTTGTGGAAGATGACAACTATAAGTAAGTACCATACTTTCCTCCACCCCTACATGTTTTAATGGAAAGATGGCCTGGCTATTAGCTTTAGTAGGAATTATACAAAAAATCTCTGACAGAAATGTAAATAGAGTTTAACATTTTTAAACTGAGCTGATATTGTTAGAGCACTTGAGTGAAACCCTAGCTGGCTGTAGTCCTTATGACTCTTAACATCAGTTCCAAAATTGTATTTCTTTAGCTTTTGCAACGGCAAAAATCAAGTGTCTGTCTTATTACAGTGTAGCCTTGTACTGGGAATGGCACTCAGGATCCCTAAAACTGGATGTTCCCTTGCAAACTCTGTTGGCTCAGGATGCAAGCTGGCCCCAAGCAAACAATATGATTTTAATACAGCTAAATGTAAATGTATAACTAGGAACAAAGAATACAGGCCACACTTACAGGATGAGGGACTCTATCCTGGGAAGCAGTGAGTCTGAAAAAGATGTGTTGGCAGTGGCAAATAATCAGCTGAACATGAACTTCCTTTTTGACGCTGTGGTCAAAAGGGCTAATATGATGCTTCGATGCATGAATTGGGGAATTTTGAGTGGAGTAAAGAGCTTATTTTACCTCTGTATTTGGCACTACTGCAACTATTGTTGGAATACAGTGTCTGGTTCTGGTGTCCACAATTCAAGAAGGATGTTGATAAATTAGAGAGAGTTTGGAGATACCTCAAATTTCTAAAGCTGTTCTACTCCACTCTACTTCAGACCAGTGCGCGTATACTACAGTTCTTCAGCCAAACAGTAATTGAGACAAACCGTTTATGCTAAAGTATGGAATAATTAATTTTGCAATGTGGAGCCATATAAAAGATTAATATGGTTGGAGTTTTACTCTGCTTCAGATGAGACAATCATTCTAAAGGAAATAACATACAAAGCAGACATTGTTCTGGGACTGATACCAGAACTGCATGAATGTGTCCGGACAAACTTCAAATGGAGAGAATATCCTCCATAATCTGTCCCATTGCCCAGGATAACCTCCAACTAGAGCAGCCAAATCAACATCGGCCTATTCACTGCAGAAGATCAGCCTTGTTTATGATTTTGACAAGTTTGTTTTTTTGGTTCAGATTAAAAGCAGATCTAGGAACAATGATATTTTATGTCATAATTCTGCTTAGTGTTTTGCACTGTCTTCCAAATGAAAAACCGCACATCTACATAATTTTTTTCAAATACAACATATATTATTTTTAAAAAGGAGAATTTCTACCATTATATTCATGGTGGGATTTGTGTGTTAATTTCCCTCTCCTCACATCATATATACAACACAAATAGAAAGAGAGGGAAAGACTTGCACATTATGCACACAGATACACACTGAACACTTGCACATTATATGTTCTTGTACAAATTAAGGACGGTGTGAGCTCTATACTAAAAGTAGTCTGACTTTCATATGTGTTTGTCTCTGAATGTTAAAATTTAGTGAGCAAGAGATTGTGTTTACTTATTTCCAACATGATTAGCATGTTATATTAAATGAAGGCAGGGAGAGCACAAGCTTATAATCTATATTGCAATAGGGAAAATTGTAGTTAGTGTGTGCTTTACAGCTCCTGGACTGGCTGCCAGCAAACGAACACATTGCTTAATTTAATTTTTGGACAGGCTTTCCTGTTCATGATACAATGTTGAGATTACATAGACAGTAGTTTTTCATTAGTTCTAGTATCTTTGTGAAAGTGAACAAAACAAATGGTCTTTATAAATATTTATTGCCATGACATAATACTTGGATGTACTACAAATCATGAGTAATTTATATTTAATTTTTTGAAGCCACTTTTAATCCCAACAGAGGTTTTGCTAACAACAGTGAGAAGTATTTACGTATATTGTTAGAGGTAATTCAATACTCATCCTTTGATCTGGATGCCTGGGAAAATGCATTTTCTGAGCAAATTTACTAATTTTCTTTATAAGCATGAGTTATGTCTAGTGAGAGTTCAGCTGAAGCCAAAGAAAAAATTCAAAGTGAAAGGAAATCAGAGCAGAACTTGATACCTAATATGGTAAAGGCCACTGCAGCTTCTTTGAGAGCTTGCATATGTCCATTACACTGTAAGTGTGTGTGCATCTTGTGCACCAGAGAGTTTTCCCTAGCGAAAGCCATATAGGCATGGCCTTGCGCAACCCCAAGCTCCTTGTGCTACAAAGTGAGGATATAAAGGGCAGAATAGCCCTCCCCTATTTCAGTTCCTTCTTAGAATGCACTGTTGATGGTCGTAGCATTGGTGTTCCCTGTGAACAAATAAACTGTTTAGTACTACCTAGTGGTACTCAGTTTTTGGTTATTTTCTTTCATTTTTATTTCTTTATTTATTGTTTCTTTTGAAAAAAATTACTTTGATTATGCACCCAAGGAGGTCTCTGGACCCCATTTGATACTGGGGGGGGCCTATGCCCAGGTTCCCAGGGTTTAAACCTGGTGTGGGCTGTAAAAAGCCTATGCCTGTTAGTGACCCTCATTCCCTCTGTTTCAAGTGTTTCAGTGAGAGCCAAGTTAGAGGCAGGTGCTCTGTTTGTCATGACTTTAAGAACAAGACAAAGAAGCTGAGGGAAGAGCACCTCCGATACCTCCTGATGGAAGTTGCCCTTAGGCTGGCATCATTGCCCCCTCGGTCCTCCAAGGAAAGCTCTTCAAAGACTCTTTATCAGAGTGCTCCCGTAGCCGGGCCTGCAGAAAGAGGCCGCAGGAGATCCCCAACACTGGTAACATCTTCTTTGAGGCCCAGGACTTCAGACCAGTCCAAGCCTCAGAAGCATAAGCAGAAGTTGGCTTCTGGCTCATCAAAGTCTTGGGTTAGGGACTCTTCCATGGAAGGGTGATCCACTATTAAAGATAGAGCACACCAGACAGCACACCACTTCCCAGTACCGGCTCCATTGGAGAAACAAGCTGTTCACTCAGATGCCCTCCCAGGGACCATTGAGACTGGCTATTTCTTCACTGGCTATGGAGCAGTCTTCCTGGTCAGCATCTAATGGCTGTACCTACTGCACTAGAGGCTTATGCTGTGGCCAGCAACTTGCTATGCCTGTTGATACTGCCATCACCATTTCTTCAGGACGAAGACCCTTGACTGGCATTGTCATAGCTATCTAGACTGTCAGCACCTGGATATTCTTCTGTGCGGCCATCAGTTTCAGGCTCAGTATTCTCCCCTTCCACCTTCTTGGGGCCAGTTCCAGATCCCCCGCACTGTATGTTGCCAGATGCTAGAAAGTCATCCATGCTTCCCCCAGTGCTGCATTTCCAGCATAGGTCTCTGGTCAACAAGTACCCCTCCCTGTATTGTGCCACTTAGGTCTCTAGGTACTTTGATTCATCATGCACACAAGGATAAGTGAAGACTCCATTGTCCATGACGTTCATCGACCATTGGCTTTTTACCTGGATAGAACAATGCCCTTTTGGATTTCTTCCAAGTTTTGCAGAATGTATGAGAAGTCATCCTCCCTCAACTCAGACTCTCCCAATGGATCACTAGCTGCATTACAATGTGCTGAGCTGCCAAAAGAGTAACGCCTCCTGACAATCTCACAGCACATTCAACTAGAGAACATTCAACCTCATCAGTGTTTGTGGCACTGTGGCGGGGTGTGCATACCCTGCACTAAGCAAGGAAGGGTTAACCTCACACTGTGGGCAGCAGATGTCTCACCCCTCAGGCTGTGCTGAAGATGCTTCAACTGTTGTCTCAGTACACAAAGGAGCAGCCCAGCTTATTCTCACCTGACCACCAAGGAGGGAGGACGCTTGGTGGAGGCTTCTGCCCGGTAGCCGCTTCAACACTTGACTGCGGGAACCAGAGATCCCAAGGACCAGACCAGAGTCTTGTTGCCTATGGCTAGCCAACTGGAGTCAGAATCCCAGGGGCTTGGAGACTTTAACGACATTCAGACCCTGGCTTCAGGAGACACAGTAGGAAGTGGCCCAGGGTGGCAGTATGAGTGATCTGTCCCTCCCAAGGAAGGTCAGCATATTGTAGTAGGATCCCCACTGACTGGGTGGTGAACACATTTGCCGCTGACAGGGCCCTGGGGGCAGGGAGGGCCTGGTTCCCTCTATCCTGACCATCCCCCGTCCCCCCAGGTGGAGGCTCCTTACTTGTGCCATTAGGGTACACAGCCCTGATCCCCAGGGAAGCCATACTGATTCTGGCCATTGGGCCACACCGTCCTGACCCCAAGGTCAGTTTTATTGACTTTGGCTATTAAGCTGGGCAGCCCTGATCCCCAAAGGCAGCCATATTGACTTTGACCATTAGGCCACACAGCCCTGATCCTCAGGGCAGCCATATTGGCTCCAGCCATTGGGTTGTGCTGCTCCCAGCCTAGGGATAGTCAGGTGGACTGTAACTGCAGTAGTATCACAACCCTGACCTGCCCCAAAATGGGACAGTGTATGCATACCCCACGACAGGCACACATCCCAATTATGGATATTTGTAGAGCAGCAACATGGTCCTTGATTCATATATTCACCAGTTATTACACATTGTCTCCTGCATCAAGGGAAGATGCAAATGTAGGCAAGTTGATCCTACAGTCCTTCTTCTGTTGAGACTCTGAGCCCCACCGCCTGCGTTAATGGCATGGGAGTCACCTATAGCATAAAGGACATATGCAATCACTTTAAAGAAGAAAAAAGTTACTTACCTTCTCGTAACTGATCTTTGAGATATGTTGCATATATCCATTATATGATCCATGCTGCATCCCCAGCACATCAGAGTCTATCAGCAGCTTCCGGTGCGAAAGGACTGAAGTAGGGGCTGGGTGACTCTGAACTTTGTACCCTTGCTTCGTGGCACTAGAAGCTTGAGGATGGAGCTGGCTTAAATGCCACCCTGGTTAGGACCAGCAGATGTCATGTGCAACATCACCAGGGCCACCCTGAGAATCATGGCAGCCTCCACAGAAGCAAGGAGATCTCTGTGGCAGAAGCTATGGTCAAGC